AGAGTTCCCTTTTCTCCACATCCTCTACAACGCTTGTTATCTTTTTTATAAAATAGTCATTTTAACAGGTGTGAGATGATACCTCAGTGTGGTTTTGATTTGCATTTGCATTACCTGGTGATGGATGACGCTGAGCACATTTTCATATGCCTGCTAGCCATTTGTATGTCTTCTTTTGAGAAAAGTCTATTCGAGTTCTTTGCCCATTTTAAAATCAGGTTTTATGATTTTTTGTTTTTGCTGTTGAGTTGTTTGAATTCCTAGGTGTGTTGGATATTAGCCTATATACAATGTGTGGTTTGGAAATATTTTCTCCCATTCCATAGGTTGCTGGGAAAATTGGATACGAGATATTCAGATGCAGAAGAATATCCACAGTTTGTTTCTTCACTCTATTGATTGTTTCCTTTGCTGTGCAGAAACTTTTCAGTTTGATGCAATTCTACTTGTCTATTTTTGCTTTATTATCTGTGCTTCTGGAGTCATATTTAAAAAACACACAAAACATTGCTCTGACCAATGCCAAGAAGTTTTCCCTCTATTTTCTTCTAGTATTTTATATTTTCAGGTCTTCTGTTTGTCTTTAACCTATTTCGACTGAACTTTTGCATATCGTGTGAGATAAGGGTCCATTTTCATTCTTCTGCATCTGAATATCCAGTATCCAACTTTTCAACACCAGTTATGAAGAGACTATCTTTACCCACTGTGTGATTTTGGCACTGTCATTGAAGATCAGTTGATTGTAAATCATGGGTTTATTTCTGTACTCTCTATTCTTTTTTTTTGGAGAAATTTTATTTTATTTTATTTATTTTAAAATATATTTTTATTGATTTCAGAGAAGAAGGGAGAGGGAGAGACAGAAACATCAATGATGAGAGAGAATCATTGATTGGTTGCCTACTGCACGCCCCCTACTGGGGAATCAAGCCTGCAACCTGGGCATGTGCTCTTGACTGGAATTGAACCGCGGGACCTTTCAGTCCACAGGCCGACGCTCCATCCACTGAGCCAAACAAGCTAGGGCCTGTACTCTATTCTGTTCCATTGGTCTATATGTCTGTTTTTATTACTATAGCTTTGTGATATATTTTGAAGCAGGAAGTGCGATGTCTCTAGCTTTGTTCTTCATGCTTTAGCTGTTTGGGGTCTTTTGTAGTTCCACATTCATTTTAGAATTGTTTCTGTAAGGGAATGTGGGCTGAAGACCTCCTGTTCAGCCATTTTGCTGATGTCACATCTCTGTAGTTTTTTCTTCTTGTGGTGTCTTTGTCTGGCTTTGGTATCAGGGTAATGCTGGCCTCTTAGAATGAACCTGAAAGTGTTTTCTCCTTTTTAATTTTTGTAAGAGTTTCAAGAGGATTGATCTAAATTTGTCTTTAAATATTTGGTAGGATTCATTAGTGAAGAAATCTGATCCTGGCTTTTTTTTTTTTAATTGGGAAATGTTTGATTACTGATTTAATCTCCTTACTTGTTATTGGTCTGTTCAGATTTTCTACTTCTTCAGTCTTGATTCAGTCTTGGTAGGTTGTATTTTTTTAATAAAATATTTTTATTGATTTCAGAGAGGAAGGAAGAGGGAGAGAGCGATAGAAACATCAATGATGAGAGAGAATCATTGACTGGCTGCCTCCTGCATGCCCCCCACTGGGGACTGAGCCCGCAACCCAGGCATGTGCCCTGACCGGGAATTGAACTGTGATCTCCTGGTTCATAGGTTGATGCTCAACCACTGAGCCAAGCTGGTCAGGTGGTAGGTTGTATGTTTTTCAGAATTTATCAGTTTCTTGTAGGTTATCCAAGTTGTTGTCATGCAGTTCTTTCAGTTTGTTATAATAATATATATGATTGCACTTGGGGCCCCTCATAATATAGGATAATCTTCCCAGCTCAAGACTCTTAACTTAATCACATTTGGGCTGAATTATGTCCCAACCAAATTCATACATTGAAGTCCTAACTCCAATACCTCAGGATATGACTATGTTTGTTGATGAAGTCTTTAAAGAGGCAACTAGGTTAAAATGAGGTCACTAAGGTGGAACCTAGGCCAATAAAACCAGTGTCCTTATAGGAAGAGGTGATTAGGTCACAGAAATGCACAGAGGGAAGACCATGTGAGGACAGAGGGAGAAGATGGCCATCTGCAAGTGAAGGAGCGAGGCCTGAGAAGGAACCAACCCTGCCAACACCTTGATCTTGGACTTCCAGCCTCCAGAACTGTGAGGAAATAAATTTCTGTTGTTAAAGCCCCCCGGTCTGTGGTACTTTGTTATGGCAGCCCAACCAGACTAATACAGTAATATTTATAAGGCTCCAGGGATTAGGACCTGGATATCTTTGGGCTATTATCAGTACACTTGCTTGCCATCTGTCTATCAGAGTGTATAACTAGGGAAAGCAGGGAGTTTATAGATTTTGTTCTTAAAACAGTGTCTATCCTTAAGGAGTTTACATTCTGCTATGGAGAGTTCATTAAAAAAAGGACAATCTAGAGAAAAAGAAGGCAGGGGCAGGGTAAGAGAGTGCTGCACAGGGGAGGGTAGAGGTTGCAGTTTTAGGGGATAGGGAAGGACCTTCTGAGAAGGTGACATTTGAGTCAAGACCTGAAGGAGATGAGGGAGCCACGCGCAGTGACAGCTGAGGAAAGAGCATTCTGGGCAGGAGAGACAGCAGACGTGGAGGCCTGCAATGGGGGGCCGTCTGCCCACAGAAAGAACAAGAGGGCCCGCATGGCCTGGTGTAACCGCATGGCCTGGTGGAGGGATGAGTAGCAGGATGTGAGGTCAGAACAGCTGGTGCAACTCAGGTAGGGGCTTCTGAGCCTTTGAAAGGCTGCTGGCTTTGTGCCTGAGCGAGATGAGAGCCGTTGCAGGATTCTGAGCAGACACATGACCTGAACTGACTTACATTGTAAGAGAATTGTTTTGGCTGCTGTGTGGAGAGAAGGCTGCTTGGAGAGCCAGGGCAGAATCAGGAAGCCAGTTAGGAAGCTGTGTAGTAATTCCAGGCACTAGCTGCTGGCGGACCCCGGAGGTTGTGAGAAGTGGCTGGACTCTGGATATCTTCTGAAGATAGATCTATCGCAGAACTTGCTGGCGAATCTGCTATGGGGAGTGGGAGGAGAGGACCCAGAGATGGCTCCAAGCTGCCAGACTGACCCACTGGAGATGCTATCTACTGAGCTGGGATGGTGGGGCAGGGTGTGGGGTGGGGAACCATCCTGTACATTGATGCCTTTGAGACTTCCAGGTAGAGATATAAGAACTGGCCTTGGGTGTGCAAGGCTGCAGCTTAGGGGAGAGGTCTATGCTGGAGGTATCACTTTGGGAGTTGCCACTTCATGGGTTGTATTTAAAGTCATGAACCATAAGAAATCAAAGCAGCAATGATGCCCCCAGCTGGGGCTGGCCAACTTTTGGAGGCCAGAGAACTGAAGAGGGATCACAAGGGATATTTTTGTTGAAGGAATAAATGAATGAATGAATCTCCTTTGCCACTGTTCTTGGGCAGGCTGTCACTCCTCACTGATGGCCATAGCAGCCCCCTGTGGGTCTCCATGAACCCACCTGCTACCAACTTCAGATTCACCTTCCATCTTTTCTTAGCTCTGCCCTGGCTCACTAGGGCACTCCCACTGTCCTGCCCTCTAGGCCTTTACACAGGCTGCTTTCCCTGCTCGAAAGGCACGGCCGTCCTCCCGGCTTTATTCTTTGCCTGATAAATTGCTTTTTGCACTCTACTAGCCTTTAGGAAGCTCTCTCTGAGATCATCCCATCCTCTTTCTCTTTCCATCCCAACTCCTTCTGCACTGCAGAGGTCCTGTCGAACAAATGCAAGAGAGTCCGGACTGCCCACTCCGTCCACACTCCCAACAAATAGCTGCCTAGCCACCCTTCTGACGGAGGGGTGTGTCACTGGCCCTGGAGTCTGCCCCAGGAGGTCAGATGCAGGCATGAGGCCATGTGGTCCCTGGAAGTGGACTTGGTGGTATAGGGAAGGAATTCCGGAATCTGGTATCCAGAGCTAGTCCAGAAAGGAGTGGTAGGCATGGCCCGAGGCCCCATGGATTTCTGGCCCCAAAGGGAGGGGGATGTCTCTGCAGATGGGTGCACCTAAGAGTGGTACTGAGTCTCCCAGTGCCACCTGCAGGTGACATTTGTTATATTTTATTTTTAAATGAAAGTTTTAGTGTGTGTGGTTTTTTAATACATTTTTATTAATTTCAGAGAGGAAGGAAGAGGGAGAGAGAGAGATAGAAACATCAATGATGAGAGAGAATCATTGATTGGCTGCCTCCTGCACACTCCCCACTGGGGATCGAGCCCTCAACCTGGGCATGTGCCCTTGACTAGAATTGAACCTGGGGCCCTTCAGTCCACAGGTTGACGCTCTATCCATGGAGCCAAACTGGGCAGGGCTGTTATGTTTTATAAGAAAGTGAAGTGGTACCTTACTTGGCATGTGTGAGAGTGGATGTTTCGGAGGAAAACGCGTCTTCTAGTTTTCGTAGGTAGGACCGTTTTCTCCTTTCTGCACTGCTGTTCACCAAGGCCAAGGGTTTGGTCTGGATGGAAGGGTCACTTTTGTTTACTCCTCCCCTCCAGCTGCACCCTCAGTGCTCAGGGGCCGCCACCAGTCCCTGCGCTCACCTTAGTTCTATGGGGCAAGGGCTGGGGACGGCCCACCTCCAGAGGAGACCCACCGTGGGCAGGCGTGTGTGTGTGTGTGTGTGTGGGGGGGGGGGGGGGGGGGGGGGAGTGTTGAGGCGGGGACTGGCTGGCCCTGTTTCCCCTACAAAGGGGTTTTAATTGTTAAAGGACAATCCGAACTTGGAGAAGGATCAAACCTCAGAAGCCAACAGCAGAGGATTCTGGTGAGCAGCCCCCCAAATACACCTTGAACAGTGGAGGTTTCCCAAGGCCGAGCCCTGTTCCCTATCTGGGCTTGGAGCCGACAGCACGAGGGGATTAACAAAGGAGGCCAAGACACAGTTTCCTTTAAAATATTTTCATTTATTAGTCTTTTTTGAAGCAGTTAATCCTCTTTTCTTATTTTAAAAAATGTGTGTTTCATCCAGAGTTATACCAAAGTGATTAAAATGAATTTTCTTCTGGGGATATAGCTCCCCAGATCAGAAAAAAAAATTTTTTTTCAATTAATCACAAAAATAAAATCAAGAGAAAACATCAACAATCAAAAATAATCCCCAAATATCCAGGACAAAAAATAAAATATTTATTGATCTATCACAGCGAGACACAAAGAGATGGGCGGGGCAGGGGTGGGAGATGCTGTGAAGTACAGTGGCTCGAGGGAGGGATGGGGGATACAGTACTGCATGGGGGGACCCAGGTTAGGGAGGGGATTCCTGCCACCCCAGCTGGCACAGCCCCTCACACCCTGGGCCCCTTTGTAGGGGTGTGTGTGGTGGGGCAAAGGCAGGGCACATGCTGCCATACAGGTTAACCAGGTTGATGGTTGGGGTGCCCAGCCAGCTAGTGGTGCCAGGTGGACAACTGAGGGCAAGGATGGATGGATGGATGGATGGTGGATGGACAGATGGGCGGATGAATTCCACAAGAGAAAGAGGTCTATTCCCATTGGGGTTCTTCTGATCTGAGGTGCCCCAGATATGGGGAACAGTGATTGGTGGAGGAAAAGGGAGCCAACGGGGCCAAGAGATGGTGTGACCAAATCCAGCTTGAGGTTTGTGATGCTTGGGTACCAACTGGACCGCAGCCAGGGGTGGGTCCTGGTGGGCAGGGGGAGGTGGGACTGCCCAGGAAGTGTCTGCACCATTTTCAGAGGAGCCCCAGGGAGGGGGCTTCCAGAGGGGCTGCCCTTCCCTCCTCCCTCCCCTGGGAAGATGAAAGCACCAGCACTTAGCACCGAGTTCCCCTGGAGATGGAGAGTGTATGGAGGGGGAGCTCCTGGGTGGGAAGGGGGAGGGGGCAGGGGGCCAAGCCCACCCACCCCTCGCCTCTGAAGTAGGGGCTTCCCAGGGCCCACTTGGCCACCGTTCTCTTGTTTCCTTGTCCTGTGGATTTCCAAGTCCGCCCGGCCAGCCCTGTCCCCTCCAGAGGTGGGGACGTAGGAGGGGGCGTAGAGGGGAGGGTCACAAAGGGTTTACATTCTCCACCAAGCAGTAGCACCAACGTTGATGAGGTCGTGAGTCAGGGGTCCTGGGAAGCTCACTTTCTCTTCCGGCCACAGGATTTCCCCAGGCAGGCTCCACCTGGGTGGGAGGGGCACACACAAGGTTAGTCTGGCCCCTCCCTGTTGCTGCTCACGCCCACTGCCCACTGACCAACTCCAGCATCATCACCGTGGGGAACAGAGGCTCCAAGAAGCCTCCAGAAGCCTGGGCTCCACCCCAGGCCAAACTCATCGTACAAACTCCCACTGGACAGGTGAGTGGGATCAGGGCTCAAGATGTGGTTGATGAAACCAAGTCTCAGAGAAGGGAAGAGGCCAGGCCACGGGTCCAGGTCTGGGAAAGACTGGGCCTGGGCAAGGTCTCTATACTCTGAATCCACTCCATCTGGGAAGCCTTTAGTGAGTGACTCAGAGCACCCCCCAACAAGGGAGATAGTGTGACAAGCATTCCAGTGTCTCAAATAAGTAAACTGAGGCCCAGAGAGAGTGAGAGCCTTACTCATCCACAGTCAGTGGCTAACTTGGGACGGGACCCCAGAACCCCTGCCCTCTCCCGGGGAGGGTCTGATTGGGAAACCTTGTTTCTAATCATCAAGACACCATTTTCTGGTTGGAGGGCTGGAGCAGTTCCTACCCCTGTGGGAGATAGACATGGCTTGTTACCGCCACCTGGTGGCAGTGAGAAGCCAAGTGGGGCAAGGACAGGCGTCTGTGCGAAGCAAGGGGTTATGCCATGGCCACAGGCACCACTAGGCACCCTGGAAAGGGCCAGGCTGGCCTTGCCTCAGCCTCTCCCAGCCCTGGCCTTGCCTCAGCTGCCTCATCTGTGTAGCGGGAAGCAGGCGGGGGCAGGCGGGAGGGGGTGGTGGTGGTGGAAGGGAATCCACAGTCTGAGCGGCCATAGGGGTGGAGCTGCGGCTTCTTTGGGTCTCCCTTGGGCATTGTTGGGAGGAGCTTGGGAGGTGGTGATCAGGACCCACCGCACACACTTCCAGCAGCGTGTGTGCATTTGTGAGGAAGGGTGTGGCTCAGTGCCAGGTAGTGGCTTCTGCCCACTCTGCCCAGCCTGGGCACCCTGCCCACCCTTCAGATTTCCCTAACCCTATGGCTCCCATCATCTCATCCATTTTCTCCCTCTGTGTCTGCTCCTCTGAGTTCTTCCCCCCTCCTCTCCCTTCTCTTTCTCTTGGCTCCTTCCTGAAAGTGGGCGGGGGGCGGGGGGTCATGTGGGCAGCAGGGAGGCAGGGACTGCTAGGCCAGGCCAGGCTGGGTGAGTATGGAGGGTCCTCGGCCTACTCCCAGCTCTGATCAGCTGTGTTGGAGGCAGAAGAAGGGATGGGTGAGCTGTGCAGCTCCTCCAGCCTCCCCACTGCTGCCAGGCTTAGTCCAAACGTGCTCCCCTCTCTCCCAGACTGATGGGCCTAGCCTCTGCCTCGTCTCTGCCCCTCCTTCCATGCTGTCTTCCTTGCTCCACTCACCTTGGTACCCTAGAGCTCCCAGGGCACCTCCATAGGGCTTGGGAGGTTTGCCTGTGTGAGGAGAGGTAGGGATTGGGGAGGGGACCAGGCTTTCCCGCCTCTCTCACCATATAGGGCCTCGATCCTATCACCGCAGGTTCTGAAGGCCTTGTGGATCATATCCTGCATATAGAGGTCTGAGCAGCTTGGAGGGTGCCTCCTCCCACCATAGCCAGACCCCAGCCTTGCCAGCTAACATGCTGGTATCAGAGAGGTTTTGACCCCCCTGGCTGCCTGCTTGACGGACCTTGCTCTTCCCTTACAGTTTCTTTCTTTTTCTGTGGGAGCTTGTCAGTCTCAGCACTTAGACCCCAAGCTCCAGGGTGACCCAGGTCCCTGTCTCAGTCCTGGTACCTAGTCAAATGCCAGGCTGGGAGCTCTAGGAGTCAGAATCCTTGCCTCCTATCCCCACACCCCAGGGCTGAACTGTCAGCTTCTATGATTCCCCTCAAGCCCCCACACCAGAGGCCCACCAAGGGTTGTGGTCATACTAGCCACTCCCTCAACAAGACTCGTCCCCCCTCCACCCCAGGAGAGGAGCTCAGAGCATTGCTTGAAGTGGGGCCCCTCCTTCTTCTTGCAGACTCACCGCCAACTCCCAGGCCCCCAGCCCCGACTCCGGCTCCGCCTCCTGCAACACAGGAGAGGGGCGGTGAGTGTGCCCCTTCTGGGAGTTGCAAGGCCTCCTGGCAGCATGGGCCTCGCTTGAGAGGGGCCAGGTTCTGGGCTTGGGAGCCTGGCTCTGCCTCACTCACTGTGTGGCCTTGGGTCAGTCCCTGATACTCTATGAACCTCAGTTTACCCCATTTGGAACTGGTGTTTCAGAAAAGCTGATGCTCTCTGGCCTTGCAAGGGGGGAAGAGAAGAATAAAGGGGAGCCCAGCGCGGTGTAACCTGAGGATAGGGGACCCCTCCTGGGGCTTGACCTAGCCCTCCTGAGCAGGAGATGAAGCAGGGGAGGGGAAGGCTTGGGGCCAGAGCTGCAGCACAGGGCACAGGGTAGGAAGCCGGGCATACCTGGGAAAATAGGAGACAATCCGAAGCCAGGTCTTCCAACTCCTGCAGGAGGGACTTGGGGTTGGCATGGGGCAGGCCCCACTCCAGCCTCGCCCCCTCTTTCTCTCTGCCCACTACCCCCCTCCCCTTCTCCATGGCCAGAGTGGCTTTCTTCACAAACCTTGTCCCTGCCTTGCATCCTGGTGTGGGACCCCATCGCCTCAGCTTGCCAGCCTGGTGCCTGAGACCCATGGTGCCCCTGACACTGAGGCCTGCCCCTCTGCCCAGGATGTTTCCTTTCCTGGACTGTCCCCTCTCCCCTCTCCCTCTGTCCTCTCCCCTCTCCCCTCTCTCCTCTCCCCTCTCCCCTCTCCCCTCTCCCCTCTCCCCTCTCACCTCTTCCCTCTGTCTTCTCCCCTCTCCCCTCCACCTTGTGGCCTTGTGCTAGCTGCAGCCCCAGGGTTGCACAGCAGAGATGGCCCTACCTGCACCTGGGAATGGCCTGGCAGCTCCTAGGACGCCTCCAAGGCCAGCGGCACCTGAGAAGAGGGCAGATGGGGTTTGCGACAAGGTACAGTCTAAGGAGTCATAGCCTCCCCTCCGGGTTCTGGGGTCAGGGAGATCCCGGACAGGCTGTTAGGACTGAGCAGGATTGAGGCCTGAGTGGGTGAGATGGGATGGTCGGGATGGGGTGTATTAGCAGCCTACAGGCCTGGGCAGGAGGAGGGCAGCAGGGAGCCACTCACCATATTTGGCTGCTTTAGCAGCTGCAGCTGGGGACACACCTGGGGAGATGGGGTGCATGAGAGCCCAGAAATATCCCTTCCCTCCCAGTCATGTCCCCCTTCTGACCTGTTCACTGTTTACCATCTGCCCACCGACTCATCCTTCTGCCGTCCCTCCACCCCTCCTTTATCCAACTTTCCGAAAGTCTTTATTAAGCGCTTACTGTGTGTCCAGTCTTGTGGCGCACACAGGAAGAGACTTCAGGCGGGTTTAGGTAGGGAGATACAATGACGACCCAAGAAAGAGTGACATGTCAACACAAGAACGGCCAGGATGGCAGAGACTTTGGAAAAGTAATTCCGTCCAAGCTTTGGTTTTTTTCCCCAGCAAGTGGGCATGACCATCATGACCCTAACAAACTCCCACTGGTTGTGGTCATGTGGGTCGAAGGAGAGGAGAGGGAGAGGGAGAAGCAGCCCTCGCTCCTGCTCGCTCAGGCCCCTCGAAACGCCAGAGGAGCCAGAGAAGGGGCAGGCCCACCACAGCCCTGAGTGAGCAAGATGTGGCAAATGGGAAGGCCTCTCTCTCTCTCTCTCTCTCTCTCTCTCTCTCTCTCTCACACACACACACACACACACACACACACTCATTCACTCACAATAAACTAATAGATTCTAGAGCAGCCTCTTACCTCCAAAGCCCCCAGCCCCTGGGACACCTCCAAGTCCCAGTCCTCCAGCTCCGAGCCCGCCAGCTCCGAGTCCACCGGCTCCCCCGAGGCCTGCGGAGAGAGCTGGGTGTTAAAACCCCATCGGCGAGACCCCTGCCGCTCGTCTGTGAAGAGCTGAAGTTTTCCTCCCAGTCCCCAGGTGGAGCCTGAGCTTCCAGAGCCTTTGTGGATGCTGTGGGGCCAGGAGGTGGCTGCGCCCCGGGGAGACAATGCCCCTGAGGGCCGCAGGGGCAGGGCAGGGAACAGTGCTCCACAGTGCGTGGCCTGAGGCCCCCCAAACCCTGGGGACTGTTGGCAGCCCCCACCTCTACACAGCGCTCACCATATTGGCCAGCTTTGGCAGCAGCCTTGGCGGCAGCAGCCAAGGCAGCAGGTCCGGCTCCTGAGGACACAGAGGGAGCTCAGGGAGCAATTCTCCACGGGTCCGTCTCCCTCCCTGCCCAGCCCATCCTGGGGTTCAACTCACCTGCCACACCGCCTGGGACACCTGCTCCACCAAGACCACCAAGACCTCCAACCCCGCCAAGGCCCCCAGGCCCTCCTGCTCCTAGGAGAGGGGCAGAGTCAGTCCCCCATTTCTGAAGGACAGGGTCTCCCTGACCCAGGGGCATTAGTCAAGCAGACGGGTGATCAAGGCCATGTGACCCAGTGGAAGGAGCACTGGACAGAAGTCCATTCCCAGACACCTGGGCCCATGTCCCTGACCAATCAGTCAAGAAGAGCAAGCTTCCTTGCCCGGCCAGTGTAGCTCAGTGGTTGAATGTCGACCTATGAACTGGGAGGTGATGGCTCGATTCCTGGTCGGGGCACATGCCCAGGTTGTGGGCTCGGTCCCCAATAGAGGCCATGAAGGAGGCAGCTAATTGATGATACTCTCTCATCATTGATGCTTCTCTCTCTCTCCCTCTCCCTTCTTCTCCGAAATCAATAAAATTCTATTTTAAAAAAAAAAGAAGAAAGAAAAGAGCGAGCTTCCTTGAGCCTTGGCCTGCCCATCTCTTCTCGTCCCCCCTGGGCTAGCCCTGGAGCCACAGGTGGCCACAAGCTGCGGAGGTGGGAAGACTAGTCTCAGGTTCTGACGGTCCTGGGCTCCAATCCTGCTTTCTCCATTCATTAGAGCCTCTCTGAGCTGCCACCTCTCCCTAAAGGAGATGATGATCCTTACCCCACTCACCCTACAGGTGTTTGGAGAGTAAAAGAGCACACCATCGGGGAATGTGCCCTGAGGTTTGAACTGTTGTCCCGAGCAGAGCTGCTACGAATAGCAGCAGCGGGAGTTTCACAGTTCTCGGTGCTTCTCACAGAGTAGCCTGCTTATTATTCATTGCAACAGGAAAGGTGGGGACTATTGTCATCCCCACTTTGCAGATGAGAAAATTGAGACGCAGCAGAGGTTAAGAAATATGCTCAAGGTGCCGCAGGCAGGAAGTGGCTTTGGAGCCTGTCCCCTTAGCTGCTTTGTTTCCCTGGCAAAATGCGCTAGACTCCGGCTGGCAGAGCAGCCAGCAAGGAACAGGAGAAGGCTTGTGGGTCACCAGGCCCGCCAGGGGTGGGACTGAGGAGACCGGGATTTTCCGAGTGGAAACTGGCCCCAAGTGGACTGGCCGGGCTGATTGGTGTTTCCCTGGCAGAGGCCCTGGCCTGGCTCTCAGAAGGCCAAGAATTCAGGGGCCACAGACAGTGTGGGTCTGGCCAGCCAGGGCTGCTGAGCGCCAAGTGGAGGGGCAGGCTTGTCTGCCACGTCTTCGTGGCTCGTGGCAGACGCAGTCATGCTGACTGGGAGGTGGGCGGGGGGCCGGGGCTCTGCTGGCCGGGAGGCAGAAGCTGCCTCGCTGACAGCAACCCTGCCCTGGGCCCACAAAACTGAGGGCCAGGGGGGCCCCTGGGGACCACGGTTTTCACCAAGGTGGACTTGCGCCCAGGGAGGCCAGAAATGTGAGGGGCCTCTTTGGTTGTCCCAGGGCTGGAGGCTCGATAGGCATTTTGTGGGCAGGAGCCAGGTCTGCTAAGCTGTCATGAACGTGTCCTAGAAACTGCCTTTTTCCACCCTGACCATCCCAGCCCTGTGCTGCAGGCGCCGGGCATGGGGCCCTGGCCCAGAGGGAGGGGAGGTGGGTGACCAGTGCATCAGGGATGGTGGGGCAGCAGTGGAACCAACCGTGGTGGCCAGTGTGGGGACACTCACCATATTTGGCTGCTTTAGCAGCAGCCAAGGATCCAGGTACTGCAGAAAAAGGAAATGTGGGGTGGTCAGCAGCTCAGCTCTGTGCTGAGGGGTACTGCTTCCTCCTGGGAGCCCTCCCTGCCTTCCTTGGCCTTCTTTGCTCCTCTCAAAGCCCTGAAGCTGTGGCTCCCCAGCCAGGAGCTCACCCTGCCTGGGTAGATCTCCGGTCACTAACCATGTCTCTGCCAGTCTGGTCTGGGAGCACTTGAGGGCTGGACTGTGCCTCCTCCTTCCCTCTGCCCCTCCCAGCCCCTTCAGACTCGGTAACCACCAGGTGAAAAACTGGAGCTCCTAGTGGCCACAGCATACTGCTGGGGGCAAGCCAGGTGGGCCCACCCATGCAGCCTGGGGCTTCCTCACCTGGCCTGCCCCCCTCTGTTACCCTAGTCATCTGACTGCTCAGGAGAACCTAATGGGGGAATTCACTATGAACCCTTCGATGAGGTGCTGGGGGATGTGCTGGGAGGGAGCATGCAGTCTCCCTTCTCTGAGCTCAGGGGTCATTTCTGCCCAGGCTAGAAGGCCTCTCACCTGCACCCGCACCTGCCCCAAAGCCAGGAACACCAGCACCAGCTCCAAATCCGGGAACACCAGCACCAGCTCCAAACCCAGGAACGCCAGCACCAGCTCCAAATCCGGGAACGCCAGCAGGAAGGCCAGCGGCAGCCCCTGGGAAAGATGGGCAGTGGGATGGTGACAGCAGGCAGGAAGCATGCCCCTGTGGGGTGTCCTGCCCGGGAGCTGAGACAGGCCCCAAGAGAAGGGGCCAGACCCCTTAATCCACTCTCTGTGCTGCCACCAGAATGGCCTTCCGAGAGCTCCCGCTGACCACCAAGTCCAGCCCCTCCCCCAGCTGGCATTCAGGGCTGCACACTCACTACACCACTTTCCTTTCCAGCCCAACCCCCACTCTTCCCTCTGGATGAACTCATTTAATTCTCCCAACAACCTTCTGCAGCAGGCGCCATCAGCACCCACATGTCATGCCCGAGGACAGGAAACTCAGAGGTCACTCAGCTCGTGTGGGGCCCAGGATTGGAACCTGGGTCTCTCCTTTGCTAAATCTGCTTTTCCAACCCCTTGTCTGCTGTCTTGGGGACCTCCCAGCCTGCAGTGGACCTGAGAGCCTGCATATTGTGGGGCCCAGCTCCAGCCTGGGTCATGCTGGGCCAGCCTGCGCTTGGTGGGGTGAGGAGGGAAAGCCAGGCAGGGCACTCACGGAGCTGGGCTTTGGCGGCCAACTGAGCAGCAGATTTGGCGGCACCCGGGGTCCCTACTCCTGGATGGAGAGGGAGGGGGTGTCAGCGTGTCAGCCACGGAGGATTCAGAGGCTCCTCAGGCCCACTTTCTCACACAACTTACCTGTAACGCCGCCGGGGCCAATGCCAAGACCAGGAACCCCTCCAGCACCGGGGAAAACGCCAAGGCCGGGAACCCCGCCAACGCCAGCGCCAGGGCCTAACCCTACAAGAGTGAGAAGAACTAATCCTTAACCCAGTCTCAACCAAGGAGGACAGAAGCCAATGGAAAGAGCAGCGAGCTGGGAATCGGGAGCCTTGGGCTTTCATCCCCGCTAGGGCACAGATTGCTGTGGACTTTGGGCAAGTCATCTTCTCTTTATGTGTCTCAGCTTCCTTGTCCCTAATATGAGGCATATGTAGGGTCAGGAGTTCTTAACCTTTGGAGGGACAAGAACCTGTTTGAGACTTCTGAGGGTGGTGGAAGCAGAGCTATGTGGTCAAGGGTGCTCTACAAGACAGGCAGACACGAGTTCAAAGCTCAGCTCAGCCACCGTTTAGCTGTGTAACTGTGAACAAGTTACGTAAGCCCTGAGAACCTCAGTTTCCACATCTCTAAAATGGGAATGATGCTACCAACTTCATAAAGTTGCTGTAAGGATTGCTTCAGCAAATGGCAGCTTTATCTAAAAAGGGGTTGTTTGTCATATGTGAGTTTCGGGGGGTCAGTGGACCTAAAATTAAGATTTCTCTGGCCTAGACAGCTCTAGATTTTCTGATCTGAATCTTGCTGCCCACAGGTCCCTGAAGCCAAGGCGTGTAAATGCCCTGGCCCAGGCCTGGTAGACATTTAAGCTCTAAGGTGGGGCTACTGCCATTGGCTATGTTCAGGAAGGTGTGGGTGCTTGGGGCTGCCCTCAGGTCTATGGAGAAATGGAGAACCTTGTCAGGGAGCAAGAAATACTGCCACGGAGGGTGGTGGGCACCCAGAGAAACCAGCTTGAGGTCCAGAATGGGGGCGGCCCAGCTAGATTGGGGGCAGTAGGGCTTTGGGAAGAGTGCGGAGGTTGGTTCTGGGGTCTCACCAGGGCCTGTTCTCGCTTTGCTTTCCTAATCAGAGACTTGACCCACACCTGAAAGTGGCCAGATGGGTCAAAGGCCCACAGCGAGAATGTGAGCTGTGGGGCTGCCAGACCCCAGAACAGAGGACAGGAGAGTGGTGCTATAGGATGCGCGCTGGGAACAGAGTCGGGGCGGGACACATACCATATTGAGCAGCTTTGGCAGCTGCTTTGGCGGCTGCAGCTGCTGGGGTTCCAGCTCCTGGAGAGGTAAAGAGAAGGGGCTGGGGAGGTGCTCCCTGCACCCCTCCTCACTCTCCCCCAACCCTCACAGCTCCAGGGATGCCTCCAGAAGACCCGTGCTGTGCTCTGTGCTGCCTCCTTACGCTGGAGCCAGAGAAGGAAGGGTTCCAGGACTGCTGTGAGGATGGCCCGCTAGCCGCCCTGGACATGCCCCTTCCCTGCAAGCAGCTCGGGGACTGTGACAGTCTAGCTCATTCTATGGTGGTGGGAGCCTGAAGCGGTGGCTGGCCAACCGTCTCCAAACCTCTGTTAAAGGATTTGTGCAGCTTTCTGCTAAAGGCGATGTTAATTTTTAAAACTATTGGAGGAAATGTCTCATTTTGGAGAGAAACTCAAAGGGGGAATTTCCCCCCAGAAAGAAGGAAAATGGAAATCCGGTGGGCAAAAAACCCGAGGAAGGTTATAACTTAATCTCATTGTAACTCTTCATTTCTTCCCTTTGGCCTCTGATTGGTGGAGGAGAAAGAGTGCAGGGGAACCAAAGGGTGACAGAGGCCCTTCCACCTGATCAGGGACAGAAAGGACCCTAAAGTAAGCGAGGCCACCCAGCCCTGACAGGGCAGAGCTCCTGCACCCAGCCGCTGACATCCCCGAGGGAGGGGCTTGCCAGGTTGTTCAGCAGACTGGAATCCCGTAAAAGGTCTTCCCTCCACACTAGGGGCATTGCTTTTCCTCCTCCCCATCTCTGGGCTCAGTCTTGCCATCTATAAAATGGTGCCCTTGACCTGGGTCCACTCCAGGGGCCCTTCCACGAGGCAAACCAAACCCATCTCTGGGTTGGGAACACAGCTCACCTGGCACCCCTCCAATGCCCGGCACCCCTCCGATGCCCGGCACCCCTCCGATGCCCGGCACACCTGGTACAATGCCTCTGGCACCTGGCACCAGCCCGCCCAGGCCTCCTGCTCCTCCAGCACCTAGAGTAGTGAAGAGCATCAGCGCTGCCCTGCGAAGCTCCCCTCCTTGCGGGAGCAGAGGGTGAAGGTGGGGTGGGGAACAGAATGGCTGCGGTGAGCACCTTCAACTCGCTGGTTTGGGGTGGGGTGATAAGCTGGGCACCAGGAACCCTAAGGATTGGGCAATTGAAAAGGGCAGGCAAGTTCAGCGTGGCTTGGGAAGATGGGGTCAGGGGCTCCTGATCTTGGCCCAGGTCATTTCAGCCCTGGAGGCCTGAGTGCGAGCTTGCTTTGTCCTCATGCTGGAGAACTGCTCTGAGCTCAGAGCCTGGGCCCCAGGGCAGAGCAGGGCTGGGGTCCAGGCTCTGAGAGGAGGGGATGGTGCTGCCCAGGAGGGAAGGACACTGCCCTGGGCATGGGGGCAGGCAGGGCCGGGGCACTTACCATACTTAGCTGCCTTGGCGGCTGCGGCTGCCTGGGCTGCAGCTATGGCGGAATGAGAAAGAGAGAGAGAGACCCTCAGAAACCTGGCTGGATCTCAGTGGGGCTGTGCTGACTGCTCTCCTACCCTGACAGGCGCTGCAGGCCCTCCCTGCACACTCCCCAACGCCTCCCTGAGCACGTGCAGCCCAATCAACACTCCCCCACCGCCTCAAGCTCTACAGAAGAGAAGCCCCCATGCCTTCGCCCTATTTCCCCAGGTGGAACTAGGGCTCACGGGAAATGCCAGCTCCAGGGACACCTCCGACTCCAGCTCCAAGACCACCGACTCCAGCTCCAAGACCGCCGTAGCCTGGAAAGCCCCCAGCACCAACTCCCACTCCGGCTCTGCCCCCTGCAGAGAGAGGAGAATGGATAGAAAAAGAGATCAGTGAGAGAGGCTGGGGGGACCCTGGGGGTGCTAGTGGACTAGGAGAGTAGGAGCAAGCCCCCCTCAAGTCTGGTCCTTGAAGGACAGGAAACCATAGAATGCCTGGGCCCCCAGCAGCCTTTTCCAGGAAACCTTTATTGAAACCCTCCCCCAGCATTTCTGCAGCCCCTCTCTTCTCGGATTGGGATCGGGCCCTGTTGGTTATGGAGAGAGGGTGGGCAGGTCCCATTTCCCCAGCCAGACTTGGGCTTCTGTGAGGGGGGTCCTGGCTGGGGTGGGGAGGGGCGGGACACTGTCCCCACTGCCATACTACAACTCTCCTATCACTCAGCCTCATGGCCTCATCCTGGGGCCCAACAGGTCCAGCTCAGCCAGTGACCTGCTATGTAACCCAGGGCTAGTCATCCCCTTTCTCTGGCCAGAACAGGGTGGGGCAGAGCTATCAACACACTTACCATATTTGGCTGCTTTGGCAGCTGCTTTAGCAGCTGCGGCTGGTGACACAGCCCCTGGAGAGACCAAGGGGACGCAGATGATCAGGAGAGAATGGAAGAAAGATGGTCAATATATATCCACCCATCTGTCCAGTCTATCTCCCTTCTCTCTATCAAGCCAACCCAGTGGATGTTTAGTTATCTGTCTACCCAGTCACATCTCCATCTAGTCCTCTGTGTACTTAACCACTCATTCACCCACCTACTTATCTACCCACGTGTCTGTCCATTTGCCTATCTATCCTTAGACTTCAATACAACCACTTATCTCTCTGTCCATCCATGAACCCATCTGACCATCCATTTATTCACTCATCTACCCATTCATCTATTCATATATCTAACCATCCATTTTGCATTTGCCTCTCACCCACACATCTATTCGTCTGTTCATCCAACTATGTGCTCATCCACCATCCATCCATCCACCCACCCATCCATTTATCAGTTTATTCACTTATTTTGTCCCTCATCTACTCTTCCATCTGTCTTTCCATCTACTCATTCATCCCTTCATCCACCATTTTACCCATGTATCTATTCATTCATCCTTTTTTTCTGTCCATTCATCCTCTTATCCTTCAACCTCTACTTATCCACATGGCCATTCACCCACATACCCAGCTGTCCTTCTGCCCATCCATCCATCCATCCATCCACCCACCCATCTATTCACCACTTACTGAGCATCTATCTATTCATCTAAGGACTGGAGACATAGAGATGAAAAAGACATGGTTCCTTCCCTCAGGAGCACACTGGCAATGAGAAGGTGAGTGGGAGGAGATGATGCTGGAGGTTGTTATAGCCCAAGGGAGAGAAGATGAGTCATGGTCAAGGTATGGGAGAAGAGGATAGATAAGTGAAGTGTTAGGGAGAATCCAAAAGTCTTGGCAATAGTGTCAGTATTTCTCTCTTACAACACACACACATACACACACACACACAGCCCAGCTCACTTGGTCCACCCACAATACCTGGGACTCCAACACCTGGGATCCCAACACCTGGGACTCCTCCAACACCTGGGATTCCAACACCTGGGACTCCTCCAACACCTGGGATCCCAACACCTGGGACTCCTCCAACACCTGGGATTCCCCCAACACCAGGGACTCCAACACCAGGGACTCCAACTCCTGGGCCACCAGGTACCAAGCCTCCAGCAGCTCCTGTGGAAGGAAAGAATTATTCTGGCCTAAACCCTGTTGGAACCTTAAAGGGCCTATAAGGGCATGGTTCTGGGGAGCTGTGGGGGTGGCAGGTCCTGAGTCCAGGATCCCAGGTGGGCTGACATTGCCTTTGGAGTTCTAAGGGTTTGGGTCTGTGGGTGGGAAGAACATGGTCTATGTCTAAAGCAAATTCAGAGCATACCACTAGCACCCAGGCAGGTGGTGCAGTAGCTATGGGTTGGCCTTGGGAGTAGGGTGGGAGGAGCCAGATGCTCCACAGGGGTCCCCCATTGCTGGGCCAATCAGTGAAGAACAACAGACAGGGCCAGGCAGAGTGGTCAGACAGGCATGTTTGGGGAGGTGGAAGGGAGGTGTCCACAGGTGGACAAAGGCCAAGTCCATTCAGTCTTAGAGAACTGAGGTCTCCAAGGCCTAGTAGAGGCCTGGGTTGGCTCCAAGGGCCTGAGGGCAGGCCAGAGTCCCACGTCTTCCTCCCCTGAGGGCACTCACCATATTTAGCTGCCTTTGCAGCCGCCTTCGCAGCAGCCCCGACCCCTGGAAAGACAGCCACAGAGGGTGAGGCCTTTCCCTGTGGCCTTCTCCAGGACACCCCCACCCCCTGCTGGAACAGCCACTACCTCCAACGCCTCCAATCCCAGGAATTGCACCAGCCCCACCAGGAATGCCGGCACCTCCAACACCAACACCAGGGAGAACTCCGGCTCCTCCAGCACCTGCGGGGATGGGGACAGTGCAGATGTAGCTCCCAGGGCCCCTCCTGAGGCTGGGAAGGAAGGCCACTTGGATGCTGGCGTTTTAACTAGCACAGTCTCCTCTGGGAACGAGGCCCAGGCATCTCTGGCGGGGCCTGCTTGAGAAGGCCCCCACCCCACTGTTCATTGACTCACCCCCAAAGTGTCCATTTCAACACGCTCATTAAGGGACTTGTATGTTTTCAGACAAATCCCATTCTAATCACTGCCACATACTGAGAAACCACAAGCGGCCACTCCCTGGGCCAGAGGGGCCCCTGTAGGAATGTTCAAGGCTTCCTCTCCTTGTGTTCCAAAGGCTCGGCCAAGTTTGTAATCCAAGCGCCTGGCTGCCTGGCTCTGGCAGGCCCTCGCTGTCCCAATCTCCTGCTCCCACATTCCACCCTCAGGGGCCTGGAGGGACAGCCTATGGGGCCTCCTAGGGGCGGCCTCCAGCTCAGTGCTGCCCTCCACATTTTCGCCCCCTTGGCTGGTCCCACCATGGCTGCAGGAAGGGCTCCCCTGGCACTGGAGATGAAGGTGAGGACTTGAGCCCCAATGATCTGACTCTGAACTGGGGCGACCTGGGACAGGGGGACAGAGGCCCATGCTGCTCACAGCATGGGCACAGGGAAGGGCATACCATGTCTGCCAGCCAAGGGATCATGAGCTTGAGGAGCCAGTTAAAATTTTTATAGTGCACACTACATTGATACTAAACTGTTACATTTTTAAAATGCTCATTCTAACCACCATAGTACCCATTCCCCTCTGCACGGGCTCCTTCTTCCTGCTTTAACCACATGGCAAACTCCACCTATATTTTAAGGCCTCAATCAAATGTCATTTTCTCTGAGAAGGGTTCCTGATTTTCTTCCCCCAGTAGAAATAATATCTCCCTCTTCTCCAGTCCCACAACTGTGCCTCCAGCCTCCAGCAGAGCTCTTATCTGTCCCTGGTCTCTAGAATGGATGGATAGATGGAGGGAGGGAGGGAGGGAGGGGTAATTAGATGGGTGAGTGGACGGATAGATGGTGGATGGATGAAAGAATGGAAGGAGGGAGGAATGAATGGATGGAGGAATGAAGGGATGGATGGAGGAATGAAGGGATGGATGGAGGAATGAAGGGATGGATGGATGGATGGGTGATGGAGAGAGGGATGGAGGGAAGAATAGATGAATGGATGGAAGGAAGGAGGAATAGGTGGGGTCAAAAAAGTTGGACAAAGGCGGGTGGGCTGCCTTGGTTAGTTATCTGTGAGGCAGGCTCTCAGTGATAACAGGATGGAGAGGTTGTGAGGCTGGGGGCTAGCAGCTAGCGACTTCAGAGGTACTCACCATACTTTGCTGCTTTAGCTGCTGCTGCTGCAGCCTGGGGACCAACCCCTGGGGGAGGGGAAGGGGAGAGACTGAAAACTGTGGCCCTGCATCTCCAGAGGCCTCCACTCCAGCCCTAGGAGAGCCATCTGTTCACATATGGGTGTAGGTGGGGGCATCATAGCCACCAGAGGCCATAGCGCTGTCCCACCCAGGATCCTTCTTCCGGCTCAGACGGGGATCTGAGTGCAGGGTGGGCTGGCCTGATTTCTGGACAGATCATGGCCCGCCCCAGAGCCCTGGAGCCAGGGTGATCAGAACCCCTTTGGCTGGCACCTTACCTGTCCCTGTTGGGTACCCAGTCTTGGCCCCGGCGCCAGCCGCTCCTCCAGGCCCATACCCTGTAAAACAGAGGCTCACTGGGCATCCGTTCAGCTCTCACTGCAGCTGCCCCCCCTGCCCTACCCATTCAGGGTCTGCGCTGCCCAGAGTCTCCACCATGTCACCTCCAGTCAGAGTTAAAACAAGTTCAAATATGTGTGGGGGATGGTTACTCCCACTGTACAGATGAAAACACTGAGGCTTAGGAAAGAGGCCGGTTCTCTCAAGTGTGAGGGTCAGGCTTGAGAACCAAGCTGTCTGAGTCCAAGTTCCATGTTCCTTCCTGAGGGAGTTCCCTTTCCAAGACCCCACCCACCCCCAGCGGGTACTCTCCTAGCCCTGGGCTGGGGCTGCAGCTCTCTTGCCAGGACCCTGCATCTGGAAAGAGCCAGAAGCCCACTGGTCTGGGAGGGCCTTACTCACCATAGGGCAGTTTCCCCGTGCTGTAGGGCAGTCCATAGCCACCTGAGGGGTGGGGAGGGCAGGCTCAGGTGTTGCCCCAAAGCAGCCCCATGCCTTGTTGGGCTCCCACTACCTTGGTGGACAGATCTATTCCCACAGCTGCTGAGGCCTGAGACCCTTCCGAGGGTCACGAGCAGCCCACGGTTGCTCTCAGGAGAGCAGAGGCCCTGGGTGGAAGCGGGGGGGGGGGGGCACCCCACCCGGTCCCTAGAGTCTGAGTAGCTTCCTTACTCCCTTCCCAATAAGAAACAGCTCATTATGTGACATCTGAGGGGTCTTTCCAACGAACAGTGTTTCTTACCATCAACACCAATGGTTTCCTATCAGGACTGGGGGTCTCTGTGCCTGTGTGTGCATGCGTGTGGGTACAGGTGTGCATGTGAGTGAGGCCAACACCTGCAGGATGGCTTCCCCATGCTTTTCTTTGCTGGCGACCAGAAGTGGGGCTCGGTACACAGGTTTCCTGACACCCCCCACAAGAGACACCGGTGACCAAAACTGTGCTCCCACAAATGCCTCCTCAGCTGTGAGACTCGGTGAGAGGTGCCTCTTGATTCCTCCTTCTGACTTACCTGGCAGCTTGGGTGCCTTGATCGGGTACCCCAGTGGGACTCCAGGCTGCTGACCTCCAAAGGGTCCAACTCCTGTGAGAACAAGGAGAACAAAATCAGGCCCTAGCAACCTGAGCCAGCAGCTCCCGTTGATCCCCCAGCCTCGCTCCCCATTTTCTGCCCAGATAGAGGGAGCCCCACTGCACCCAGAAACCATCCTGCCGGGAGGGTGTTCCTGCTGCTGTCACTGATCAGCTGAGCCCTTCCAGTGCTGGGCCAAGGCCTGCAGAAAGCTGCAGAACTCCCCCCCTCCTGGGGCTTGGGCCAGTTGGGCCCTGCAGCCCTTGCAGCATTTGGCACAGACTGGTACGTTTCCTGGACTCAGTGGGCTGCTACACATGAGGGGTTGGGACTGGGAAGCAGAACTATGATCAATGCCACTTTGTTTGGAGCCAGTCCAAGGCCTGGAGCAATGGGCATGAGGGGCACTGGACAGGCCTGATGGGATTCTGAATGCCCCGCCCCGCCCACGGTGAGAGCCTTTGCCTGGCTGGACGCCCTGCTGGCCTGCCCACCCACCGGGGATTCTCGCCTTGCCTCACCTGGGATTCCAGCAAAAGCTCCCCCTCCACCTGCAATGACAAGGAGCCATCACTGTAGTCCTTTCACCGTGGGCGCAGGGCCCCGAGGCACCAATGGCTGGTGTGAGGCAGCACAGAGGGCTGGGGAGTGGCCAATTCTGCCCCGATTTCCAGGTTTATGCTGCCTCACACACACTTGGGATTTCTGAGAGGTGTTCTGAGAGGTGTCCATCTCGGCCACCAGTACCAAGGCTGGAGCACAAGGGGTGCCCACCCAGAGGGCCCTGAGCCCAGGGTCCCCAGCCCCCCTCCTCCTCCCCTCCATAGGGGCCTGAGGGTAGATACAGGTTCCCACCATGGGTCCCCAGCCCCCCTCCTCCTCCCCTCCATAGGGGCCTGAGGGTAGATACAGGTTCCCACCATGGGTCCCCAGCCCCCCTCCTCCTCCCCTCCGTAGGGGCCTGAGGGTAGATACAGGTTCCCACCATGGTCCCCAGCCCCCCTCCTCCTCCCCTCCGTAGGGGCCTGCGGGTAGATACAGGTTCCCACCATGGTCCCCAGCCCACTGGTCACATACCTGGGGCCTTGGGCTTGACTCCTGTTCCAGTGGGAACCCCAGGGAGCACCCCCACACCTGGGAACCGAGCTCCTGTGAGAGCAAAGGGGGTCAGGCAGTGAGGGTGGGAAGGCAGGCCTAGAAGGCCCAACCTGGCTCCCACGCCACCCCTGGGGCAGGAAGTTGCCCTCCTTCTGCACTGACCATCAGTGACGGCACAGCTCATGTGGGATGGGGGCGGTTTGATGGTGGCTTCTCTTCCCTGTCTGACTCGGAAGATCTGACTTTAATCCCATTTCCTAGCTATATGACCTTGTGCCTCAGCTGGCCTTGTCTCTGAGCTGAGGCCACCCTGCCCACCCTTACCAGAGAAGGCAGACAGTAAAAACCGGCAGGAAGTGGGAAGCCTGTGCCCACAACCGAGCACACAGCCCTCTGCTGTGGCCGGGAGCTCCGCACTTGCCAGTGCCTGGCCCTCCCACCTCTCCTGTCTCCCCTGGGACTGGGCCACCTGGGACAGAGGGAGGGACACTGTCAGCAAATCTCCCAGAGCAGCCCCAGTCTGGGCTTTTAGGGGAATTCAGGAGGTCACATGTCGGGTGGGGTGGCCAGGCCTGGAGGGAGAGGAGGGTGAGAGGGCAGCTCTGAGGGTCTCCTACTGGGCAGATGCTCTGGGCGGGCTCCCTGGTGACGCATGGCTTTTGGGAATCAGCTGGCTACACCGGGGACTTGGTATGTCCTCAGGGGCCCACCTCGGGCTGCGACAATGATCTGGGTCAGGGCCTGGGGTCGGAGCTTGGTAGGATGAGGGGAAGCTGACTGGCCTTCATGGGAAATGATGACAGGGGCCCTGTGTCCCTTAGCCTGAGCTTTGATGCTCTGGTGGCCTCAGCTTACAGGGAGTTGAGGGGCCACCAGGAGATGGTCTCCAGGCTATAGGGAGGGTCTCCTTCTTCTCTGTGATTTTACCTGTGCCTGGGAGCACTCCACCTGGGTATACACCTGGTAGACCCACACCTGTGGCCAAAAGAAGGAGGAGCCGTGAGCAGCGCTCCAGCATCCAGGAACCCCTCCCTGGCCTTCCCTCCACAGCTCCAGGCCTCACAAACCAGCCACCCCAGTGACTGGCAAGGATAGCCAGGGACATGTGTTGTGGCCACGGCCTTCCTCCCCTGAGTTTCAGGAGTCATCTGCAAACCCTTCTGTGCATGGATTTATCTTGTCTTCTGGAGCCTGTTTACATGGCTGGCCCAGCCCACCTCTGGGCTAACAGCTTCCAGATGTTCCTTCCCTGCTGTGTGGACTCAGGCAGGCTTTTGTTTAACCTGAAGTCACTTCCTCAAGGGCTTGGTGCAGAGGAATGAGCACCAGATGGGGAGTCAAGGCTCCTCTGGCCACCCTGGCTCTGCTATGACCACCAAGGGCCCTCTGCACTGACTCCCATGCTGAGCCTCAGTGTCCCCATCTGTCCCCTGGATGTCTGCCACAATCCTGTTTCTGAGATCTCTGAGATCCTGGAAGAAGGCCCCAGAAGGTGGGCTGGAGTCCCTCTCCCCATTTTGAACAGGGCCCCACACTTTGGGCTGGTCGCTCTTCCCTGCCCCGCTGCAGCCAGGCCCCACCTGTCCCACCCAGTACAGAGGTGAGGGCCTCAGCCCCTCCCTGAACCTGCTGTCCAGCCCCAGGGACTCCACACTGACCCGGCACTTTCCCAGGCTTCCCTCCAGCTCCGACTCCCACTCCGGACGGCACCACTGCACCTGGCATGGAAGGGACCGTGTCAGAGCTGGTGTCACCAGGCCTTCAGCCGTCACCAGGGCAACTCAGGGTTAGCCGCCATACCTGTAGACACTCCTAAGCCACCGAGTCCACCGACACCAAGTCCACCGACACCAAGCCCGCCGACACCAAGCCCGCCGACACCACCAGCACCGCCAAGCCCAGCACCTACAGAGCCAGGAGTGGGAGAGGCGAGGAGTCATGCAAGGAGCAGTGGGAGGTGGGAGGGACCTGGTGCATGTGGAGAGCCCGGAGATGATATCTGATCATGCCACCACCTCCCTTGGAGACTGGTTGCCTCTCTGAGCCAGAAGATAAGAGATGAGGATCCCGCCTGCCTCCCAGGAAATGGTCTTTGCAAAGTGGAGAGCCCACGGAAGCGAGAGGGTCTGTACTATGGCATGTCCCAAACCGTCACACTCACCAGCTTTGGCTGCAGCTTTATAGGCTGCAGAAGCGCTAACCCCAGGCGGTAGAGCCCCCGGGAAGGCGCCCCCAGGAAAGGCGCCGAGCCCTGTGGAGGGGAGGGGAGGACAGGGTGAGGCCCTGAGCCCAACCAGCCCTGCCCAGGAGGCACATTGAGGTGGCTCTCCTATTCTCTGCAGGACTTCCACGCCAAGCAGCGGCCTCTGTCCCCAGGACCAGGATCAGTGTTGGAGAGCAACATGTGCCAGATGGTTCTACTCAGTCTGACAAAGCTGCAGGCTCTCTTGGGATCAAACTTCCACACCCCCTCCTCCAGGAAGTCTTCCTGACACCCTGCCGAGTTGAGCAACTCCTCTGGGCTCCACTGGCCCCTGCAGCCTCTTGGCACTACATCATACTAGCACTCAGGACGCAGCGGTTACTTCCTTGTGTCCTGGGCAGCTGCTTAGGGCAAGTGGTCTCAGCATCACCCTCACACCAGCGCCCAGGGCTGGCCTGGCCCACATACCAGGCAGACACCCTGGGCTTGGCTCTGGCCCCAAATAGGCGTCTTGCTTGGATGTCAATACTAACCTGCCCCTCCTGGGAGCCCTCCAGCACCTGTAGGGAGAAGGAGACAGAGCCAGTGAGGAGACGAGAGACTGGTGTGTGGGCATCATTCCTGGATCCTGGGCGGGAAGGGTCTCATGATGGGCAGGCAGGAACCAGGCAGGGCTGTGGTCTGTGCAGCCACTCAGACCCCAAGCTGGACTCGAGCCTTTGGTGCTCAGGGGCTGATCTTGATAAAACAGCAGCTCCCATTTAGTGACCAGCTACTATGTGCCATGTAGATGTAATTGTATTGACCATTCTCCCCCCCCCCCCCCCCCCCCCCCCCCGCCATAATGCACCTAGGCCAGGCCTTGCTTCCCCTAGAAGGCCTGCCAACAAATGGGAGACTGAGCAGGGCTTTCTCTGAGGGTGGAAGCTGAGTAGAGTCTGTCAGCAAGACCTGACCCAGGCCAGGCCCTGCCCGGCTCCCACATTAGCCCCCAACCCAGACCTCTCTTCTACTTCCTTGCAGGTGTCTCCTGGCTCAGCCCATTCCCTCTCCCTTGTATCTGGAGACCCTCCAGTTCCCAGCATGTCTATGTGTCCATCCAGCCTGCCTGCAGTCCAGGAGCCTCCTCGATTTCAGACGGATGCTAAAATGTTTATGAGAAGTCAAATGGTCCCTCTGGCTCTCTCCTTCTCACATCTGGGCCCAATCGCTCCTTCTCCCCCTCCAGGAGACATTCCGGGCTTTGGCCAGGACGGATGGGCAATCAGGTTGGAGTTCACAAGCGTGCCGGGTTTGTTTCCAATTACGTGAGACTCTCTCCTGCAAGCACCAGTCTGGCTGCCTGGCTGCCAGGGTCCTGAGCCCAGGGAAGCCCTCTCTGGGGACTGACCCCAAACATGGGGGACTGCCAAGCTTGGGGAGTCTACCTGGCTCTCTCTGGGTGTGGTCTCCCTTCCCCCCACTTATTTCCTACTTGTGTGAGTTGGCCCCACCTGCAGCTCAGCCAGCCCTCTGTAAGATGGGTGTCTATCTCTGGCTGGTCTCCCTCCCAGGCATGCCTGGTGTGGGTCAGGCCTGGCCTGGGGGCAGGGAGTTCACTTCCCAGCACTGTGGGCCCTGCCCCTCCCCAGCTCTGACTGGGGCTTCTTTCAAGCCAGGCCTGTTTCCTGAGCTCCAACAGGCTGGGACCTTTCCTGAGCACAGAGGGGCTGGACGAGAAGATGGGAACTGAACAGGAAGTGACAAGAGGCTGGGACAGGTGGGGGTGGGAGCAGGCAACCTCTCTGGAGCCATCTGTCCTTTCCCAGCCTCCTCCCTAGGTGCCTGGTCCCCAGGCCGCCCTCCAGCATGACCAGCCCCTCTCCTGTTTACCCTCCTTCCTTTGGACTCACCTGGTCCAAATCCCCCAAGGAGTCCAGCCCCTGGAAAGGAGGAAAGGAGGGGTGAGGTGCTGGCCACAGCAGGGAGCCCAGGGGCCTGGCCAGCCCAACCCCCTCGCATCCTGGAATCAGAGAGCTCTGGATTCAAATGCTGCTACTCCTGCCGACTCCATGCGTGTGGGAGAGAGTCTCTTCACCTTTCTGAGACTCAGTTTCCCCACCTAGAAATGGTCATTGTGTCCCTGCCCTTCCTGGGACCAGTAAGATCATAAGCAGAAAGCACCTAGTGTGTGCAATATGCCAGGGTGTCCAGTGGGTGTGGCCCATTCCTTCCAGTCCTCTCGTGTGGGTGGCTGGCCTCCAGCTGGTGCTCAGGGTGTGGGTGTTGCTGGCTCCCAGCTGCCTGGTCCCCCACTGAGAGCCCAGGCAGGGCCAGCGCGCTGAGGCCCACATGGAGCAGCTGCCAGGCCACCCACCCTCCACTTGCCAAGGGATTAATTGTTCCTAAGCATGACACACACTGCCCATGCCCCGTTCCATCTTGCCTGGGCAGGCCCGGACACCCCCTGGGCCGGATGGAAGTGAGGAGCTGCCGAGGGAAGGAGGGGGGCTGTGGCTTTGTCCGGACTTTTGTAGCTGAGCCCCGAAGACCTCAGGGAGGTCGTGGGATCCAGCCCCTTTTCATCAGGAGGAGACACCCTGACTTTTTGGGGGTCTACTCCTTCACCCTGCCCTGCGAGTGCTTTCGGAAGTCTAAACTAGATCATTAATAAAAGCTTCACTTTAGCAGCCACCCGTTATGGGGCTCTCTGCAGTTTCCTCAGTCTCCCCTCCTAGGTCTAATCACAATCTGCCATGTGTCCCCAGTGAGATCAGCCAATCCCCTCTCTAGCTTTGCAGTCACAACCTCCACAACTTGGTTCTTCTCGGCTAAGCACAGACCTGTTTCCACGTCTTGGCTTATCTAGTCCTTCTCGACATTCTTTCTACCATCAGAGACCCTGTGAAGGTCCCTCCCAGGAGGGAGGAGGCAGGTTCTGGCAGGATCAGCAGTGAATTCCAAGGGCTCCGGCCTCGTCGACCCCCAAATCCCAGGAACCCCTTCCCCTGGCTTCCTGTCCTTCTGCCTCCCCCTGGCCCGGCCCAGCCCTGATGTTTCACAACCCAGATGGGCTGGCAGGGAGGGGGGACTCTGGGTCTTGCAGATTCATCTGCAATTGGATCATCCAGCAGCGGGTTTCGTAAGAGCTGCTGGACACCCAAACTGTCCTGGAGCCTCGGCTTCAGAGCCAGGGAGACACAGAGCAGGGTGGGGGGGCAAGGCCCCATGTGGAGTATCTCACGCCAGTGGGGTCACACATCTGGACAGAGACACCACTTCCTCCACCTGCTCCTTGTCCACCAGTGCTTCCTGGAGGGACACACCCTCCTTCTTTCCTGGGGGTGTGTTCTTTGGAACTGGTGGTGGACCCTGGTGTCAGATTCGGCAGGGCCAGGACAGTCTAGTCCAGTGGTTGGCAAACTCATTAGTCAACAGAGCCAAATATCAACAGCACAACGATTGAAATTTCTTTTGAGAGCCAAGTTTTTTTAAACTTAAACTATATAGGTAGGTTCATTGTTATTAACTTAATTAGGGTACTCCTAAGGCTTAGGAAGAGCCACACTCAAGGGGCCAAAGAGCCGCATGTGGCTCGCGAGCCCCAGTTTGCCAACCACTGGTCTAGTCACATCTCCTTCCTGGAAAACTCCACAGTCTGGACAGCCAGAAGGGGCCTGGGATCAAGGAGGATCCTCATCTGGGGCCAGAGTCAGGGTCCAACCTGGGGTTTAGTTTCGGGCTTGGTCTGGAGTCAGGGTTCAGCCTGGCACCAGGACAAGGGCTCAGATTGTCATCAAGAGTCAGGGATATGGAGTTAGAGAGGCCTGGGGTTAGAGAGGGCTTGGTCTGAGTCAAGGGACCATCAGGTGGGGTCTGGAGCCTACCCTCTGTGTCTGAGTCCCAGAGTGACATTCACAGCATGGTGGCCTCTGGAACATCAAGCCCCCCCTTTGTCCTGAGCACCAGGGCTGTGCTTCTGAGGCCATGTGCATAGGGGACAGGGCAGCTGGGCACAGAGGCCCTTGTAGAATAGATGCTGGACACTCCTCGCAGAAGCTGCTGCCAGCTTCCTGTCCCGGACTCCGGCCCCGGCCTGCACATACCGGGGGATGGTACCGCCCACCACTTCCTTCCTGCCTCTTGCCCTTGCTAGGTAGGCTCTCCCCTCCCCTGCCCCCTGGCCCACGCTCAGCACCCTACGACCCCAGGTCTTACCTGGCTTGGGCGGTTTGCCTCCAGGCCCCAGCCCTGCAGAGGGAAGAGATGGCAGTGAATGGGGAGCCCCAGCACCCCTGTCTTATACCTTCAGGGCAAAGCAAGAGCACTGTGGGGTCTTACTCTCCAAGTCCTAAAAGGGCTGTGAGGAGCAGCCCTCCCTTCGGACAGGGAGCTGCTGGGAGCCCAGGGTCTAGACATCTGGTGGGAAGCCCAGCTCCAGCCCAGATTTGTGGTTTTTACTTTCAGACTCAGTTTCTCAGAGCCTCTGAGGGAACAAGGACACCTGCTCAGCCAGCATTTTAGGGGTGTGCGGAGGATCAAAAGAAAGCGGGAGAAGGCGGGGGCCACCAGGGAGAAAAGCCTGGGGGAGGGGCTTGGAGGTCAGTGGGTTCCAGTTCTCAGACAAGTCTCTCCCCAAGAGGCACTTGGTCAATAAAACAAGAGACCCTTGATGCTTGGACTTTCTGGGGTTCTGAGGTTTAAGGACCTGTATGGGCTAGAGTGACACTTAGACCCCATCAGTGAGGAAATAGATTTGGTTTCTGCACTCACCTGCTCCTCCCAGGCCTCCGATACCAGTCCCTAGGGGGGTGGGGGGTGGGAGAGAGAAACATCAGTGTCCCTGTCAGATCAGTGCCCCTGCCAGAAAGCCACCCATCAACCCACGGTCAAATCCATCACTGCCTAGCTACACCACCTCAGGCAAGCCTTAACTTTTGCGAACCCCAATTTCCTCATTTGTCTCATAGGGCCCATAGCCCTGTGCTAGTTTGTGCCTGAGAGTGTGCTGGTAGCTGCCCTCACTTCCATGTCAGTTCGGAACACTCCAATGCTTCTTAAGTATTAAAAATATGACTTTGATCTTTCAATCTACTTTAAAACATTATGCTTTTTTCTAAATGGCATTGCTCCGACATTTTCCCCATTTTTTAAAATATATTTTATTGAGTTTTTTACAGAGAGGAAGGGAGAGGGATAGAGAGTTAGAAATATCGATGAGAGAGAAACATCGATCAGCTGCCTCCTGCACACCCCCTACTGGGGATGTGCCCGAAAGCAAGGTACATGCCCTTGACCGGAATCGAACCTGGGACCCTTCAGTCCACAGGCCGACGCTCTATCCACTGAGCCAAACCTGTTAGGGCTCCCCATTTTCTTTTGGTGGTGGGGGGACCTCCCAGTCTCCACCTACACATGGTCGTTGCCTTTATGTTGTTTTTACTTGAAAAACATGTCACCATATTGCACAACAGATAACAAATCATACTTGTTAGTAACTGGGTAATATTTCCGAGTTTACTTAATCACACCCTCCAGTCAGGTGGGTTTCTTGCTTTACAGTTTTGCAAACACCACACCTATGAACCTCATTGACGATCATTCTTTTCCTCTTCAGTTATTTCCTCTAAGTGGATTTCCAAAGTGGGGTTAATGGTTGGAAGACTGTGAATGGCATTAGTGCGTGAAAGCACTTACTTTCCTATAGCCTCAAAAGCACTGTTTCATCTTTCAGAAGATTTATGCTCTCGCTAGTGGTAAGACAGTGTCACGCAAACTGCTTTTCTAAGTAGCAGGGACTTGTGGGTCTTCTGTGGTAGGCATGACAATGTTCTTCCCTTCCGCAATGTGCATCTCTCACGGATGTACTCACAAGCTTCCTCCCCTGGGTAGGGGGAAGTTTCATGTACATTACCTGGGAAAAAGCCTCCTCCGGGAAGTCCTCCGGGAAGTCCTCCAGGAATAGCTCCTGGGACCCCTGGAAGGAAGTAGGTAGAATCCTCTATTAGCCAGAGCTAATAAAAACATGGTAACAATGTGATGATGATGAGGAGGATGATGATGAGAATGGTGATGTTGTTGGAAATCTGCAAAGCAATTTTTGTTTTTGAAGCATTTTTTTCCCCCATTTATGCTCTGCGAAGTGGGAAGGGCTAGGATTATTATTTACATCTTAACAGATGTGAAATCAGGCTCAATGAAGTTGAGGGATGTGCCTGGGGTCACACAGCTGGAAAGAGATGGAGCCTGGATTAAAACTCAGGCAATTCCTCCCCCTGGAGAGGGCCTGGCATGAGGCTGGGTCTGAGCGCCTTTCGATGGGCAGCCAACTGTCTCCAGCCCTGAGCAGCATGAGCCGGGGCCAGGGTTGTGGCCGAGCTGTAAGTAAGTGGTAAGGAAATGCGGCTGCTGCCAGTAAAAATGCAGCCATTCCCACACTGATAGGACTGCGTGAGGTCAGCGTCCTCAGCCACTGGGCAACAGTGGATGGGTGGGGTTCTGGCTGTCTGACACAGGGCTGTCTTAGGAGGCGCCGGGCCCCAGAGGGGGACACCATGAATGAGCAAAGTGAATAGTTTCCTAAGGAAAAGCGAGTTCACTGGCCAGGCCAGGGGCTGTCTGCCCAGCCAAGATCACGAGTTCAGTCCCCACCGCCGGGCGAAACACTCACTGGGGGATGCTGTGGTGCTGGGCCCAGACCCATGCCTGGTCATGGCAACAGATGATCCTGGTGCAGACCAGGCCCTAACTCCACCACCACAGAATGGCCCCAACCCTGATAAGCCACCTTGCCAATGCCTCATCCCCAGCACCACCCCACCGAAAAGGGCACGGGCAGGGTTGGGGGACAGTGTCGGTCAGCTCTGCAGTATGACCAGAGGCCTCATGGACAGACATCTGGCCTCGTGGCCTGGTGATGCTGCACAGCTGGGTCTGTTGGCCCCAGGGCCCTGTCAGCCTCAGCCCCAGCCCGGCAGGGTAGGGGATGCCAAGCTGTCACAGCCACTCCGTGCCAAAGTCCTGGCGCCATCCCCCTCCCCCAGGGCCTGTGGTCCCCCAGGAACTGCAATCCAGGCCTAGAGCGTGCGAGCAATCTGGTCAAAGCCTCAGGGGCTCAAAGTGGTGGCCTGAGGAGGGTGGGCCGGCTGGGAATGAGTGCTTTGGCCCTGTCATGTGTTGCCAAGCACGCACATGGCCTGTCTTGAGCCTTTGATGCCGTCCCTGGCTCTGGTCTCCAGCTCTGAGCCCTGTTTCTTATGTGCCCTACCCCGGTGCGCCCCAGGCCTTTCTCTGCCTCGGCCTCTCTCCCTCCTGTCCAGCTCCAGAGCGATGGCAGGAGCAGGGCCGGGGATGGAGGGAACAAGGGGCTCAGGACGGACCCATCTGCCTCTCCTCCTGGCTATGCCACATCTGTGTGACCTTGGGCAAGTCACTTAACCCCTCTGAGCCTCAACTTCCTTTTCAGCCAGGTGGGGCTGATAACTGCTGCCTCGCAAAGTGGTTGCAACTCGTCAGCGGGTTCAGTAAGAGCGCCGTCCTGCCCTGGACCTGGCACACGGCAACGGCCCAAACAAAAGATGGTGACCCCTCGTCTCCACTTCGCTGCGCAGCACACGGCTTGGGGTCGGGTAAACAGGACATGTCCAATAAATGATGTGTGCATTAGGTGGAGGGGAGGCAAGGATGCTGCCTGTGGCTCTGGATTCATCCTGTTCTATCCCCAACCAACCCGGGGGTCTCCCACCTTGGGCCTGGCTGACCCCCCTACTTCCTCTCTTGGGGTTCTGCTCTCCCACACCCGCTTGTGACCAAGCCCCTCCCGGGCCTGCCAGCTCCTCCTCTGCTTCCTCTCTCCCCAGCGCCTCCCCATCTCCTCTTCTCACTCCCCACCCCCATGATTCACATCCCAACAGCACGTGCCAAACTCCGTGCCTGAACCATCACAGCCTGGGGAGCTGTGGATTTTGATCCCCATTTTGCCCTGAGGAAATGGAGAAGACTTAGTGGGTGTAAAGGGTGCCCTGCCCTGCTTTCTCTCTTCAAGTGCAGGAGAGGTGAGACTATAAGACAGGAGGGCCTTCAAAAGGGCGGCAGCCACCCTTCCTGCCGGAAATGCGGTCTCCTCTCCCCAAGTCCTACCCTTCCACCAAGACTGAGCTCAGAGTCTCCCTCCTGCCTTCTCTCAGCCTTTGACTCTCATTGCTGAGTTGGCCGGCAGCACACTTGTCTTATTTTATGTGGGTTTGGCTTGTTTCACCGGCCAGTCCAGGGTGAACTCGTCTCTTGCATCTTAGAATCATGATCCTAGACTGTCAGGGATCATAACGGTCTTCGGGCCTGGGCTGAAGTTCCTTCTGCAAGCATCCCCTGGTGCTCCTGCTTGCACACCTCCAGTGACAGGGACATCACCACCTCTGACGCTGTCAGCTCTACCTGCAGAGAGATCTTCCTCCTATCAAGATAGACTCTGCCCAGAGATCTCTCTAATTCTGCCTCCCAGAGCCCTATAGACCGAGGCTCACCTGTCATCCCAGGATAGCTCCCCACACACTGACCTTTCTTTAAAGGTCTAACTCAAATGTCACTTCTGCTGTGAAACCTTCCTCGGTTTCCTGGGTCTCCTCCAGGCACCCCCTGCCTTCGTCCCGTCTGCTTTCTGCACCATTGAACTCTGCTCCCCACTAGACAAACCATGGCATGAAGAGCAGGAGGGAAATTAAAGCTTATAACTGTGCACGAATTATAAGGGTTGAGCAGCTCAAGTTGGCAAATTCTGAATAAGAAGATACATCGTTTTAAAAATTCACATTTCCACAGTCCTCTTCCTTGATACATTCTTGGCAGTTGTTTCATTGCTGGAGCCGCCCACCAGCCCTAGGAGATAGTGGGGCAGGGAGGTTTCTCCCCATTTTATAGCCAGGGAAACCAAGAGCCAGTGAAACTGAGTGCCTGGCCTGGGACCTACAGCTGAACCCAGTCGCACACGGGCCTTCTGTCTGGGCCCTGGGCTCCAAGTTCCAAGATCTGGGAGAAGGTTGTTTAGGAGCAAGCAGTGAGCCCGCGGTCCTCAGTAGGGGCTTTGCCAAGCCCGAGTCCAGAGGGCCAACCTGGGGAGCAGATAAGACCACACGAAGCTGTTTGTTGTTGGCATGGAGAAGGGCTGCCAAGGGCTTTTCAAAAACCATCTGTCCTCCAGTGGGTGACTCGATCCCTCACTGGGCACGTCTGCCCTCCTGCCTTGGCCTTAGTGGACACAGAGAGCAGGATTAACCCCTGAGCCAGAGCTCCTGGGCCCAGGAGGCTCACTAAAGTCACCCTTGACAAAGCCTCTGTGTCAGGGTCCCTCCACGGACCAAACAAAGCAGGAATTCTTGGGTGGGACCTCCACATCAGAATTGTTCTTAGTTCCCTGGGTAACTCCAATGTGAGGCCAAGGTTGAAAACCCCTCTCACCCCCCACCTCCCAAAAAAAGAAAACCCTCTTCCAGATTGTCCCCAGTCCTGGAATCAGAAAAAAAGTGATAATATTTCTGGGGGATGGGGAGATGCCTGATTTCTTTTTCTTTTCTCCCCACTCCCCTCTCGCTTTAAATAGTATTGGGGGTCTAGGACAGCTGGACCTCAAAGTTGCTTTTGACCCATCCTAACTGGGTCTAGACAACCCTTCCCATTGCACAGCCATCCTGGGGAGCCTCTCTTTCTTGCCTCCACTGACAACGTGGTTCTTTGGATCTGGGGAGCTCGTGGGGTGACACTGTCTTGGGGTGGGGGGAAGCTGGGCTCCCCCAGGGTAGCCAGAGTGCGATGGCTGTGTGTGTGTGTTTGTGTGTGTGTGTGTGTGTGTGCAGCCTCCCTATTGCTTGACCTCTCTAGCTTTTGGTAGGCTCTGGGCACAAGCCCCTGAATTTACACAGCCCTTATTTGGACCCAGTCCTCCACCACCTGGGGCAGAGCTGTGATTTATGTTTGCAAGGAAAGAACAAGGCCAGCGGACATTTCGCAGTGTCACTGAGGGGACAAGGAGAAGGTGCCTGCTGCCCTAGGGCGTGCCCACCCTAGAGGGCTCAGTCCCAGGCCGGATCTTTCCCAAGTGTTGCCTAGCCCCCCGGCCCCTGCCCCCTCATCCTTTGGCCCGGGGCAGAGAGCTGGCTGGTACTAAAGTCCCTGGGACTGCCTCAGCCTGTCTGAACCTCAAGTTCCCCAATCGTAAAGTGAAGACAGTAATTGGTAACCCTCAGGGTTAAGGTGATCCTGTGGGGATTAACTGCCTCACTCTAGGCGGGAGCTCTGGGAAGGCAGGCAGGTGTTCAGGGGCCACACCTTGGAGAGGGGAGGCCCAGACAGGTCCAGAGCTGCTGCTCTCAGGCAGCTGGGTGGCAGGTCCTCTGGGCTGTCTCGCTCCCCCCCGCTGGGCTCCACCTGATGGTGCGCACGTCCCATAGCCCCGTTCAGGTCCGAGAGCCAGTGACCTCTGTGCAGGAAGCGCCTATTCCCAGCAGTGCTGGTCCAGAAAGTCAATCTCACGGAAACAGCTGCCGCTCCTCCCCGGTCCCCCACTCCAGCCCTCCTGCCTGGCCCTGCTCCACCCTGTGCAACTCCCGTGCCGGTCCCCACTGAAGGTCTGGTTCTCATGGCAAGGAGGACTCGCACAGGAACCTTACCCCACCCAGCACACCCTACCAAATGCCTTGTGAACCTTCACTTCCCTTTTCCCAGAGCCAGGAGCACCAAGGCGGGAGGGTCATTCCCAGGGTCCCCCAGGGTGTGTAGCAGCCCCACAGGGGTACCCTTGGGACCTGTGCAGGGCACACCCTAGATGGTCCAGGACTGCCCTGAGGTCTACTCCAGCCTCTGCCATGGCCACACTCCCTCTGCCAGGAGATGGACACTTTACCCAGCTTCCCTGTCCTCCTTGTGTTAGACACACACACACACACACACACACACACACACACACTCACGCACATTCACATGCACACCTGGATACCAGATCTCCCATGTGTATAAGCCTGTCAGGTGGCAGACCTTTGCATATGCCAACAGGCACTTTCACATACCCTACAACCTTCCTCCCCCCAAACACACAAATACACACACACACACACACACACACACACACACACACACCTGTCCAAGGATGAACTTGTGAACAGACATTTATCCCGGAAACCTTCTCCACTATTTGATGAGATATTTGGCATACACACCCATGCCCACCTGTGCAAGAGCATGCAACACACTCATTCATGTATGCATGTGTACGCACGTGCACACGCACACACATACTTCACACACACACACTCAGAAGTCCCAGTCCTTCTCACCAGGGACAGACCACAGTAGCAGTTTTCCAACCACAACTCCATAATCAACTAACCCTGACCTTCCTCAGAGGGGTCCCTGCCTTCCCAGGGGACAAGGAACCTGCTGAAGCCACACCGGTCACTTTGGCTGCTCTCTAGTTCAGGTCCTCTACCCGCAGGGCATGTGTGCCACTGGGCTGGGTCCGCAGGTGTGCAAACTGCAGGTGCCTGCAGACCCAATGGGAACAGTCCCTCCCCAGCATGCGTCCAACACCCCACTGGGAGAGCACGAGGGACGGAGCAGGGGGCCCTCCCTCCACCCAGGGCAGCAGACCCCGGACACTCTGGGGACCATCCCAAATCGTGGGGTATCTATGTGACAGGTTTCCCTCAGCATGGGCTGGGTCCTGGGAAGGGCAGCTCCAAGGATCCAGTGACTGCCGGGCTCCTGCCGGGGAACCCTGGAGGATGCTGGGGGTGAAGGGCACCCTCTCATCTATTAGCCCAGACACCTGGCTGGGAGGATGGAGGGCTGCAGGCGGCTCCGGGAACAGGGTGAGGCCTACCTCCAGGCTGCGAGGGGTGGATGATGGACAGCAGGAGCAGGAGGACTCCAGGCCACAGGGCTGTAGCTGTCGGACCCGCCATCTCAGGGAGAAATGCCCAGCCTGCTCTCCGCGCCTCGTTTTATCCCCAAAGCGTAATTGCTGCCTCCTCGGCTGCGAGGGAAGAAGGGAGGGAGAGAGGGCGGGCAGGAGGGCCTGAGCAGGGGGAGGCCTGGGGGAGGGGGCCGCAGGGAGGGGGGCAATTACGAAAGGCCGGCTCACAATCCTCCCAGGCTGGGTCTGAGCGGACTGGACTGTGGGCTTTTTTCCTTAAAACACATAGTCACTCACGCGTGCGCATACACACACACACACACACACACACACACACACACACACGCAGTTTTCCCCATCTCTCTCCCGCTTTCCCTCTGTGGCTGTTCTCTCACTGCTGGCCCCGTTCCCGCCAGAAAGTGTGAGGGGGGCCTCTGCCAGGACAGCCCTCGGGAGAGGAAGCAGGAGGGAGGGCCCTGCAGCCCGGCCAAAAATCCAGTCCTAGCCAAGTCCTGAGTGGCCAGGCCCCCGCCCCTCCGGCTGGGCCCCGGGCCCAGTGTGGGGACACAGGCCAGCTGTCCCGCGCCTCTGCCCCCACCCTGGCCCTCCAGACTTCCCCAACACCCCCAGACCTGGCCACAGACAGGCCCTGCTTAAATCTGGGGAAGTGGGGTTTTGGGCTGGTCTGGGGGCTGGGCCAGGGCCAGTGTCTACAGAGGTTGAGGTTGCTGCAGGCAGAATGGCCTGGAAGGTAAAATCGTGTTGTCATTGTCCCCTGAGGCACCTGGGAGCTGGAAGGGGGACCCTGACTCACTACACAGCTCCATTCTGCAGGGGCTAAGGTCACAACCTCCTGCCTGAAGCTGGGGGGTGGGGGGTGGGGGGGGGCGGGGGGGGGGCAGGTCTTTGATCCATGTCTGCAGAGGCCGAGGGGCTGCCCTGGGGGACGGCCTGGGAGTTAAGACCATGTTGGTGTTGTTTCTTGGGGCATCTGGGGGACATGTGGGAGACCCTGGCACACCACAGGGGTCCCATTTACATGGATCAAGGTCACAGCCCCACATGTAGGCTTGTGCAGGTCCAAGTGTCTGGCAAAGGTCAGTCCGGGTCCCGCCGGTGCCCTGTGGGTGCACAGGGGTTTAGGGAGCCCACCAAGGCTGATAGGTGGCCCAGACCCCCTTTATCACTTGGCCCCCACCTGTCCCAACACTAAGCAGTGGAGCCCCCAGACCAGTCACAGGAGCTTCAGCTGCCGGTTCTCTCCCAGCCCCAGAACACCCAGGACTGACATTCCTCGGGTGGCCAGGAGGGGGCGACCCTGCGCTGAAACAGCTGGGACCAGCATTTCCAGCAGGACTGGGACTGTTCCTGCCTAACTGGGCAGGATGAGGACCCGGGGGGTTGGGGGGCCGGGAGTAGGGGGTGGGGGGACTTGAGAGCCAGAGGGTAGGAGAGGGGCACTGGCGCTTGCCCTCATCACAGGCTGGAGGGGAAAAGTCGAGGTCACAAAGTCTGAGAGCTTCTCCCCACCTGCCCTCGCCCAGGTGGAGAGTGAGGGGAGGACACACCACAGCTCCCAGGAAAGGAGGGAAACGACCCCTCCTCCAGCCAGGAGCGCCCGGCAGTCTGCAGGGCTACCAGGGGTGGCCCAGAGTGGAGATGCCAGAGGCAGGCGCTGGACTCCGGGGGGACCTAGGCCTCAAATCTGGCTCTAGCACTTCCTAGTGGGGTCACCTCTTCATAGAGCTTCAGTTTCCTCACATGTCAAATGGTTATTAATATGGCTACCTGGGAGGGTTATTGCAAAGATAAATAAAATGTGGTCATATCTTTCTGTCCTGTGCCGCCTAGATCCCAAATGCTCTGTACTCACCTGGTGCTAGTCCTGGTAATAATGCCAGGTTACTACCACAGGTTCTGCAAGCTCCACTCCTGTCTGTAGAGGAACTCTTGGGCTGCCTCTCTGCTGGGCCACCTCGGGACCCTGGGCCATCCCTTCCTCTTCCCGCTCTCAGGTGATGGCGCTCCAGGAGTTTGGAAGGGGTGGGTGTGCCAGCAGAATTGTCTTGCGGCTGTGTTTGCACAGCAAATGTGCAGCTCTTACTTCCAGGGTGTGTGATTTGGGGGTGTTTTGGGGGTAGCTGATGGAGATTATGAGCCCAAGCCAGTCCTTGGGGAGGTAGGGGCTGCTCAGGGTCAGGGCCTGAGGCTCAGTGCTGGGATATGCCTGCTGGTGGGGAGACCAGAGGGTGCCTCTGCATGCCTGCCCCTCCCCAGGAGGGGGGAGGATGGGGTGCTGGTGCGGAGCGGGGCCCCACTCTTTTCAGGGCAATGACGTGGGCAGGAACCGGCTTTCAGACTTACAAACCGCAGTCTGCTCAGAGTCTTTATTAATTCCAGGACCGGGAGAGAAGCTGGAGCCAGCTGGAGAGAGCTTGCTGTGGGGGGATCCAGGAGAGGTGTGGAGGGGCGCTTGCAGGGATAGACTTGAGGCTGCTGGGCCAGGCCTCTCTCTGCGGGACCAGGGCCCTATATCCTGCCCCCCCACCCCGACCTGTGTTCCCCCTTCTTCTTAGCATCCCATGCTCACTGCAGGAGCCCCATGAACTCATATCCACCAAGGTTCTGCGCACCTCCAAAGGGGAGCCTCAGTTCAGAACCCCATCCGTTAACTGGATTACCCAGTGCAGTTTAGCCCAGTGCCTTCCATACATAATGGAAGGATGAGGGGTTACAGTTATCAAACAATTTTCATCCGTTCATTCACTCATACATTCAAGAAAGCCAACAGCCCTCAGCTGCTCTGGCCCCACTCTTAGCTATAAGGATTAAATAAGGTCATGAACTTCCCATAGAGGGCTCCCCAAATGCTGGGGAAGCCTGGCTTCACCATTATCCTTGACAAGCCACATCTGCGGGGCATCCAGGTGAGTCACTGACAGGCCGTCTCTGTCCTCAGCCCCTGCAGGTTCAGCCCTTTCGGAAGAACAGGGCTGCCAGCCTCCACACGGCTCTGAGCGTGCCGCTGCTTTGCTCAGAAACCCTCAGTTGCCTCCGGATAAAGTCCAGACTTCTGAGAATTGCCTTCAAATCCTTGGCCCTACCCAGCTCAGCTTCTCTGTCACTCTCCTTCCCCCTGGCCGGCCAGCCTCCCTTCTGGTTGATGCCGCTGCTCCCAGCTGCCAGGCTTGTCCTAGAGGCTGGACACGGGACCATTGTTGCTGATGTTCCCTGGTCTCAGCTTCTCTCTCTGCAGGTCTGTGCCCTCAGCATCCTTGCCCCTTGGATCTCTACGAGGGCCCGTCGGTACTCAGAATTTCATCTTATCCCCTGCTGGCCTGGCCTTCAGCGGAGCCAGCTAGAGGATGGAATCATTTCTGTCTCCCGCGTCGTCCAAGAGTGTCTGATAATAGGCAAAGATGCGCTCTTCAGAAGATGGGGACACCGCCAGAATGCTGGGGTGCAGTTTTTGTCTTTTCCCTTGTCTACACACAGTCCTTTTATCCACTGAGTGCAGGGTGCTCTATCTGCATGAAACCTTGAACCAGAGAGAGAGATCAGCACGGGCTGCCTGGCTAGTCTGGGAAGAGCTTGGAGTCAGGCAGACCCAGGACCCTGCTGTGCTCCCTACAAGGTGAAAGTCTCTGCTAACGGTCATTTGCAGCTCTGTGTGCGGGAGGGAGGAGCGTGGCTTTCTCATGTGGACCTAGGTGAGGTTTGCCACAGAAAAGAATGTGGATTGGGTAGCATGGGTTCAAACACCTGCCCTCATCCCTGAGACCCAACTGCAGGCATTGAGAAGATGGCCAGAACCTCCTCATCCTCTGATTTAAAATTTTCTAGTAGTCATATAACATAAAAGATACGTAAAATTTAACCCACTACATCTAAAGTACTATCATTTGAACATGTCATTGATAGGGAGAGTATTAATGAGATGTTTTGCCTTCGTTTTGTACTCCCTTAGAACACATCTCAATTGGGACTAGCAGCGTTTCAAGTGCTCAGAAGGCACATGTAGCCAGTGGCCACCGGAGCAGACAGCACAGGTTGAGACTATGAGGGGACTCGTGAGAATGAACCTGACTTAGGACAAGAGAGGAGGGAAAGCTAAATGGTGACTTCTGCTGCTCAAAGTTCACAGGTGAGAAGGGTGTGAGGATGAGGGAGAGAGCCAGGGCAGGAGGGACGGCCCTGAGGGCTGGCAGGGAAAGACCTGGGCGCACCCACGACAGGCAGCCCCAGGGGAGAGGCCCTGCCCTCACGCTGGTGACCGAGCCAGAGCGGGTACCGCCTACTGAAGGGTACCAAGCAGCATCGGCCCAGAGCCAACACTTTGGCTAGAAAATGAGAAAGGCCTGCGTAGCTCTTGTCTCCCCAGCGGCAGCCGGGACCCCTCTGACCGCAAGAAGCCAGGAACAGAAGGGACCTGCAACAGGACAGGTGTCAGACTTCATTGGAGGTAAAGGGTCTGCAGCCGGAAAGAGATGGGGCACTGCTGGTCTGGGCCACCTGAATCTCACTTCATGCAGGCGTGGCTTGAGGGGAGAACAGGCTGTACGTGGAGAGGGGTTTAGCAGCTGCGATGGGGGCTGGGATTCCAGGACAGGCTGCTTCTGCAACCCCAGGCTAGGGTGCTGGGAGCAGAGTGGGGCAGGGGTGTGTGGCGCCAGTGGTCGGTGATATGGCCGGGATTGACACTGACTGACATGAGTAGCAGGTCACCTAGTCGTTCCTGATAATGGCGGTGTAAAGAGTCATTAACCCAGGGAAGCCCCCGTTTCCTCTAATGGAGACAGGGCTTTGCACACGCTTTTCAAGATTGAAGGCTCATGTCTTAAAAGCCTGGTACACAGCAAGTGCTCAAAGGTGGGATGAGGACCACAGCACCATCTCAGGCAACCGAAGCAAACCGCTGAGGCTGGGGGAGGGGGGAGGCAGCCCCTCCCACAAGTACCAGCCCCCCTACCACCCTGGGATACCCTGCCCTGAGCTGCCTTTGATCCAGCGACCTCTGTGCAGTCACTGCCTCTGCTCAGGCCCTGGTGTTTGCGTGTCTGAGTCATTTGTCAGTCTGGGTCCTTGGCGGGTGCAAGCCAGGGTGGGGGGGGGGGGTGTCCTGGACCGGTCGTCCTGCCCTGTGCTTTCCCACATCGCCTCGCGGGCTGT